CCAAATACAGATATAAAGAAAGTTGAAAACCACTGCAATAGCTACAATTTACATATATATCAAAAATTACAAGCTATACTCATGGATACAACAATGCTAAACACACACAAACACATAGCTAGGCTACTTGCTGGGACCTTTAATACCTTAGAAAAATTTTCCCTTTTCTCCTAGAGCAATGAAACTTTTGCAGAATAACAGGCATATATAATACTAATAAGCTACCTTGTAAGTGTGATTGCATTCACTCTATTTTACAAGTTATAGAATTTAGTATGATTTTTGTGTCAGCCATTTTAAATCCTTACAGTGGAAACAAGCACCTGAAACACGAACAGTTCTTGATTATAAATGTAGAAGATCAGTTAGCTACATCTTTATCCAATGTTAAAGGTGCAGAGAACAGCAAAGTAACTGTAGACTTCTTAGTTTTGACATAAACAATCAAAATAGGCAAGTGGCACTACCACACTAAAAGTCAGTCATTTTGAGAAAAACGTCACTTCTGGTCAGAAATAAGAAATCAGGCTTGGCTGCCCGACTGTATTTTTGTTGCGTATTGCCTAACATAATTTTTCACTGTCACGCCCACTTTACTAGTGCCACGTGTATTGTTTAATGGAAGAATGTCTATGGTTTGTGGTTACCACATTTATAAAGACATTTGGAGCCCATCAGTTGGAGAAGAACTGCCCTTCTGTGTCGAGCCTGATGATGCTACTGTTGCTACAGATCGCTATGCTGTGGCTGTAGTGGAAAAGGGTGTGTCACAAATTTTAGTTAGATTAAATTTTCAATACCTATAAATTTTGTTCAAAATTTTGGCCAACGAAACAAATACAAATTAGCACTCAACAAAAATTTCCTGCTATACAGTAGCTATTACATATACAGCCCTATATAAAACCATATGAATATGAATTTGGTATTTGAGATTTAAGTGTTGTATTTCACTTTCTGTGTGGTACATGTAAACTATTTAATCTTTCTAGGCAATCATGAGTTAATAACAATGAATCAAATGTATGGTTTTGAAGGAGAAGTGAAGAAAAAGTCAGTAAATGCAATTGTAAATGAATGAATAGAGTCTCTCTCTCTCTGCTAATAGATACAATGGTAAAATGGCTGATTTATTTACTGAGGTCTTTAACTGGTTACCATTAGCACATGTCATTGACAATAAAGTCTTGGTTAGATCTTATTTCTCTCAATCTACTGTATGGAAGGAAATTTTGGAGGTCGTTAAATTTGGCGAATTTGGCGTTTTGATAGCCATTCGCCAAAATAAAAATTCGCCATTTTGAGCCATTATAGAGGATATGCGTGCTAAGTATATTCATTGCAAAATAAATGTATTCATTGCATACCGTAATAACTTTCAAGAAAAAAAAATTAGTTCGTTGGACGTCAACTTTCCATTGGCAGCAATGGAGAAATGATAGAAAAAGGCTTGGTACCAGGAAACCGCTCTGTATTTCTTGATAGCAATCTTTCAGGTGACTACTAGACCCCGTTAGATCCTTAGGATGCTTTCTAAGCTTCCGAAAAAGGCCTCAAGAAGGTAGCAAAGCAAGAAAATGTGTTTTCCCCCATTGAACTCTTAATAAACTTGACGTCCAACATGGCAGCCAATTTACTGTGTGGGTTAGATATACGGTACCAAAAAGCTATGAATATACTTAGCACGCATATCCTCTATACGCATGCTCAATGGCACGTGGCCATAAATTCGCCAAAAAATTAGCCAATGACCAAAATTTAGCAATTCGCCAAAATTTAATCCCTCAAAAATTTCCTTCTGTACGGTATTTTATCCTTTTATTTGCTATCACACAGGTTATACATGGGGGGCCTGTTCAGTACTGATGATGTCATGATTTAAGAAAAATAGATCGAAACAGACAACCCCCAGAGGAAGGTATTAGATTAATAACTTGTACATTCTCTATTGTCTTTATTGTATAGGTTTGAGTTATGGTCCAATCCTCAGGACATGGTACAGTTCTTTCATTGTATTTGAAATAATTTATTTATTAACATAGCCTGGTAGGGGGCCCAGTAAAAGGGGTGTGGCTCTACAGTTTGGACCGGATGTCACTGATAGGTTTTGCCAGAAGAATGGATTGGGTTAGTTTATTAGTACCAGCTAGTAATAGAGGATGTATGTACTGTAATGTATGATATGATGTACTGAATATTTGTGCAATTATTATAGTTAAGATGTACATGTGTACTGTTGTCAAGTGTATGTACAATAGCTCTAAAAACTCTGATTTCTGGCTACATGTATGTACACATGTATTTGCTTGCATCCTGCTAGTTATGATTGTTGTTGATGACTGATTAATTGATGACTGTAATGTATATAGTCTTGTAATGGTGAAATTGATTCTAGATATGATTGTAAGGAGTCACGAGGTAAAGGAGGAAGGTTATGAAGTGGCACACAATGGGAAGTGTATCACAGTCTTCTCTGCACCTAATTATTGGTGAGGAATACCCTTCTCTTCTAGTTGCAGCTGCTTTTTATCTTGTGTATATTTTTCTTTTCTCTTCAGTGATCAGATGGGTAATAAAGGTGCTTTCATTGTTCTTGACAAATCTTTGAA